GCCGTGTTATTCGTAGTAGTATTAGTAGTAGTAGTGGTAGTAGTAGTAGTAGTAGTAGTAGTAGCAGCAGTAGCAGTAGTAGTAGTAGTAGTGGTAGTAGTAGTAGTAGTAGTAGTAGTAGTAGTAGTAGTAGTAGTGTAGTTCGTAGTAGTATAGTAGTAGGAGTAGTAGTTAGTAGTAGTAGTAGTAGTAGTATAGTCGTAGTCGTTAGGTCGTAGTAGCAGTGAGGAAGCCCGTAGTAGAAGTAGTCGTAGTAGTAGTAGTAGTCATAGTAGTAGTAGTCGTAGTAGTAGTAGTATAGTCGTCGTAGTAGTAGTAGTAGTAGTAGTAGTAGTAGTAGTAGTAGTAGTAGTAATAGTAGTAGTAATAACGGTGGCAGTAGTAGTAGTAGCAGTAGTAGTCGTATTTGTAGTAGTAGTAGTTGTAGTTGTAGTAGTAGTAGTAGTAGTAGTAGTAGTAGTAGTAGTAGTAGCAGTAGTAGTAGTGGTAGTAGTAGTAGTGGTAGTAGTAGTACTAGTAGTAGTAGTAGTAGTAGTAGTAGTAGTAGTAGTAGTAGTAGTAGTAGTAGTAGTAATGGAACACGTAGTAGTAGTAGTACAAGCCTCGTCAAAAATAAACAGAAACGCAGATGGAAAGCACAACGATCGATCTTCTCGGGCACTCGCTAGAAATTGCGTTCTTCAGTGCTGCGGAGGGGTCGTTGGATTTTTGAAGCCCTTGCGTCCGCGTCAGATATCTAGCGACAACATTGGAGTAGCGCTGACCATACAATCACCGAAAACAGAATCCCTCAGTTTATTTTTGACGAGGGTTGTTCGCTTATAGGCTTCTAAGCCGCTTTCTTTCGCTAATGCGCAGCACGTGTCCGCCCGCTCGGCTGGATAATTAGTTTGCGTTTAGCGACTAGCTTGCCGCCGCCCAGACAGCCGCCCACCCCTTGTCGCGCGGCGCTGAACTGAACAGATTCGGGGGGACGAGACAGATAAATCATCGGCATCGTCGTCTGCGCCATCGACACCTCAGCCATCGACGCCACAATCACCTGGTGTAAGATAGCGGGTATACGTTCCAATGTTATGGAAGTTCGTGCGTCTGGGAGCTTTCGCGCGATTCTCGGCGTCCGCTGTAGCGTAACAATTAGCAAATCGCTAGGTCGACAACGCGGAAGACCGTATAGGTCGTTGAGTCCGATACGGCACAGCTAGGGAGAAGGAGTTCGTGCAAAATCACGGGTAGACGTTCCAATCTTATGGAAATTCTTGCGTCTGGGAGCTTTCGCACGATTCTCGGCGTCCGTGGCAGCGTAACAGTAGCAAATCGCTAGGTTAACAACACGGAAGACGCGTTTAGGTCGTTGTGTCGGAACCGGCGTAGCTGAGGAGAAGGGACGGTGCAAAATCACAGGTAGACGTTCCAATGTTATGGAAATTTGCGCGGCTGGGAGCTTTCGCGCCGCCGCCGCCCAAAGGGGGGTCGTTACAAAGGATGATGGCGGGTATTTGTCCAACTACCCCGCCGCCGCCCACTCGGCATGCGCTTTGACTTAGCGCGGCGGACACTGCAGTCACTTCGACGTGTTATTTGTACAACAACTACCCACCCTTGCCCACCAGAGTGTACTTTTTGCAAAGGATTATGGCCGGGTAGTTGTTGGTACTAACCAACAACTACCCGACCGCCGCCCACTCGGGTTGCATTTTTATATAGTACGGCGGTCACCGACGTCACTTCGACATATTATTTGTACAACAACTACCCACCCATGTCCACCGGAGTGTATTTTTTGTCACGTATGATTGCCGGGTACTTGGGTAGTTGCAAATTTTAAAAGAAAGGAAAGGGGGGGCATCTTATTCTTTTAGAAAAATACAACTACCCAAGTACCCGCGTATAAAAAAGCATCGAGTGGGCGGCGCCGGGTAGTTGTGGTAGTACCAACAACTACCCGGCCATAATACTTGCAAAAAAGGCACTATGGTGAGGCAAGGGTGGGTTGTTGTTGTTTTTTCTACACATTGTCGACAAATAATATGCCGAAGTTACTACGGGGTTCGCCGCGCTGCATCAAAGCGCATGCCGAGTGGGCGGCCCCCAGGTTGCCGCGGGGGGGTCCAGGGGCGGCTGCCAGGTTGCCGCGGGGGGGTCCAGAAGTATATCTCTTTGATAGGACCAAGTAGATGGGTGCCTCCCCCCCGCCGTCGGCCGCGCCGCCGCCGCCGGCCCCGCGCGTCTTCCGCGGCTGCCGTGCTCGAGTTTCTTGGGTGCCGCGCGTGGCAGTTTAGCGCGATGTACATTGCACCGCACATATGGTGCCAAGATAATATAAGAACCTATTGTTCGGGGTGAACACTGATTTTTACAGCGGCCAAGCCTCGTCAAAAATAAACAGAAACGCAGATGGAAAGCACAGCGATCGATCTTCTCGGGCACTCGCTAGAAATTGCGTTCTTCAGTGCTGCGGAGGGGTCGTCGGATTTTTGAAGCCCTTGCGTCCACGTCAGATATCTAGCGTCAGCATTGGAGTAGCGCTGACCATACAATCACCGAAAACAGAATCCCTCAGTTTATTTTTGACGAGGGTAGTAGTAGTAGTAGTAGTAGTAGTAGTAGTAGTAGTAGTAGTAGTAGTAGTAGTAGTAGTAGTAGTAGTAGTCGTAGTAGTCGTAGTAGTCGTAGTAGTAGTAGTAGTTTTAATAATTGTAGCAGTGGCAGTTGTAGTAGTAGTAGTAGTAGTAGTAGTAGTAGTAGTAGTAGTAATAGTAGTAGTTTTTAGGTAGTAGTAGTAGTAGTGAGTAATATTAGGCGTCGTAGCAGTAGTAGTAGTAGTAGTAGTAGTAGTAGTAGTAGTAGTGGTATAGTAGTAGTAGTAGTAGTAGTAGTAGTTAAAGTAGTAGTAGTGGTAGTCAGTAGTAGTAGTAGTAGTTAGGTAGTAGTAGTAGTCGTAGTAGTAGTTAGTAAGTCGTAGTCGTCGTCGTCGTGTACTTAATAGCTCGTGTTAGTAGTTGGTTCGTAGTAGTAGCAGTAGTAGTAGTAATTGTAACAGTAGTCGTAGTAAAGTAGTAGTAGTGGTAGTCGTAGTAGTAGAATATGGAGTGCACGTAGAAGTAGTAGTAGCAGTAGCCGTAAGAGTCGCAGAAGTAGTGGTAGTAGTCGTAGTAGTAGTCGTATTAGTAGTAGTCGTAGTCGTAGTCGTATTCGTAGTAGTAGTAGCAGCAGTAGTCGTTAGTGTAGTAGTAGAGTAGTGGTAGTAGTAGTAGTTTTAGTCGTCGTCGTCGTCTCGTCGTCGTCGTCGTCGTCGTCGGTGTAGTAGTCGTAGTAGTAGTCAGTAGTAGTAGTTAGTGTAGTAGTAGTAGAATTGTAGTAGGTAGTAGTAGTAGTAGATTAGTAGTAGTCGTAGGAGTAGTAGGTCGTAATAGTAAGTCGGAGTAGTAGAGAGTAAACAGTAGTCGAGTAAAATAGTAGTAGTTAGTAGTAGTAGTTAGAGTTAGTCGTAGTAGTAGTAGTAGTAGTAGTTAGTAGTTGTAGTAGTAGTAGTTAAGTAGTAGTAGTAGTAGTAGTAGTAGTAGTAGTAGTGGTAGTAGTGGTAGTGGTAGGGTAGTGTAGTAGTAGTAGTAGTAGTTAGTTGGTGGTAGTAGTGTAGTAGTAGTAGTAGTATGTAGTAGTTAGTAGTGGTAAGTGGTAGTAGTAGTAGTAGTGTAGTAGTAGTAGTAGTAGTAGTAGTAGTAAAAGTTGTAGTATTAGTAGTCGTAGTCGTAGGAGTAATAGGATGATGATGGGGAGAAAAGAGGAGGAATATGAATACGCATGAGGAGGAGGATGAGGATGATGCTGAGGAGGAGGAGACGGAAGGGGGGGAGGAGGAGTACGTATGAGGAGGAGGGTGAGGATGAGGAGGAGGCGGATGTGGAGGAGGAGGGGGAGTACGTAGGAGGAGGAGGAGGTTCAGGAGGATGATCAGGAGGGGGATCAGGTGGAGGAGGAGGAGGAAGGGCAGAAGGAAAAGGAGAAGGAGGAAGCGGATGAGGAAGAGGAGGGGCAGGCGGAGGAGGAGGAGGAATACAGACAGGAGGAATTGGACTAACGAGAGTACTAGTAATAATGGTATTCCTAAACGGATGATTCTCGCGAGTATTATGAAGAACGCGAATACGAACAGCACGAGTAAACATTAACACAGTACTCATAGTTCTACTATGGATGCCAAGAAGAGAAACTATTAAACCATCAGTCACATAATACTATGACGCTGGTGATGCTAATACGAAGACTGATGAGAATACTCATAACACGGAGAACAATAATAGCATGAGTGGGAACACTGCTCATAATGCCAAGAATATCCACGCGAAGGCGAATAGTAATACGAATAATACTAAGACTAATGATACTATGACGAGAACAAGAGGCGGCGGATGAGGAGGAGGAGGATGAGGAGGATGAGGAGGCAGAGGAGGCGGGGGGGGGGGGGGAGGAGGAGGCGGAGGCGGATGCGGAGGAGGAGGACGAGGAGGAGGAGGAGGAGGAGGAGGGGGAGGAGGAGGAGGAGGCGGATGCGGCGGCGGCGGCGGAGGAGGAGGATGATGATGATGAGGAGGAGGAGAAGGAGTAGGAGGAGGGAGGAGGAGGAGAATCCGTAGCCATTTTGGCTCAAATAAACCATTTCTCGAGGTGGCTTGCAGTGAGCTGTGCGCTCGGGGGAGGCTCCCCCGCCTGTGAACCCGCTGCTTTTTCTGGCAGCCTCTCCTCTCAGTGATATCCTTCCCGCCCCGCTCAGCAGATGGCCCGCAATGGTGGCGGCAAGGCCTGGTCGACCGCGTGGACCTGCTGCGACAAGCGGTGCGGGTTCCCTCGCAACTTCCCATGGAGGGCGACGTGCTGGGCGTGCGGAGCTGCCAAGCCTGCGGGCCCTGCTGAACGGCAGCCGCGTTCTCCTTCTGGTGCTTGGGTTCGCCCCCCCCGCCTTCAGCCGCAAGGTGGAGCTGCGGGGGCGGGGGGTGCAGGTGGCGACAAGCTCAACCCTGAGCGCAAGGCCGCGCTGCTCGTCATGTCTCAGGAGCATTCCGAGGCAGGCAGCTTCTGGCTGTCGCCAGGTCAGACGAGCCACCTTCAAGGGCTACGTGCTGCGCTACAGGGCGATCCCCTCGCCGTCAGCCGCCAGGCGAAGCAGCAGCGCGACTCCCTCAAGGACAGGGTGCAGAAGGCGAAGAACGCGTGGGAGCGCTCGCAGGAGTTGCTGTCCAAGCAGCTGCGCAAGTCCGCCGAGCTGCATGCGAAGTTCAAGGATCTCGAGGCCCAGGAGTTCGAGGCGGCGCGCAAGGCCGCCAATGCCTACTCGGAGCTGGGGAAAGCAGGCCGTCCTGAACCTGCTGATCCTGCTGCTCTTCTTGTGGCGCAGTTATCTGAGCTGGGCGTCGATCCGTCGGTCGTGGACGCCATCAAGACCGTCGCAGAAGCCCATCACACAGCCAAAGATGAAGAGAAGAAGCGAGAGGCAGCCCAAGCAGCAGAACGTGCCGAACGTCAAGCTGCTGAAGCTCCTCATGCTGGTGTGCCTGGTCGGGATGCCGCTGGCGGGGACGACGAGGACGTCGACGTGGGCGGAGTCGTCAACTACCTCAGGATCGGCGAGTGGCTGGACAAGCTGGTCGCTAGTGAAGGCGGTGTCTCACGAACGCAGCTGGAGGCTGCGCTCGATGATGCTGCATCTGCATGCAAAAAGTCACGGACGGGGTAGCCACTGTGCGCCTCGTCAGGGGCCCAGGGCTCCACATTTTTGGAAAATTACTTCTGCCAATGTCACTGATCGCTCTGGGCTTTGCATTTTCCTCTCCGCCCCCTTTGTTTTGCAGGCGCATCTAGTCGGTGTGCAGGAGACGCGGGTGGTCGAGGTTGAAGCCATGGAGCATAAACTCAGAAGGCAAGGGTGGAGAGGCAAGTACTCATCCGCTGTGACCACGTGTGGTGGTGGCCTGTCGGGTGGCATTCTTGTAGCTGTTCCAAAGCATGTTGGCTTGGCGCAGGTTGAGTCGATCCCTATCGAGATGCAGGCGGGGAGGGTGATGGTAATGCATGTGGGGGGATTATTCCCTGGAGGATTTCTCGCATGTGCCCTCTATCTGCACAATTCCATCGGCCTTGCACCCGCCAACTGGGATCTTCTCTGCCGGCTCGGAGCGCAGCTTAAGATGGCTAACGTGCCTTGCATCGTCATGGGTGATTTTAACGTGGAGCCTGACGTGCTGCAGCACTCGGGCTGGGTTGATGCAATTGATGGCGTTGCGATTCACACGGCCGCTGGCACTTGCACACCCGCGAATCGTGTCATCGATTTCTTTGTGTCGCAGGCTCTGTCCTCGGTCGTCGAAGTCTCGCAGGTGAACGATGTTGCCATCGCGCCTCACACGCCAGTCCAGCTAAGTGTTCGCAGTCTCTCTAAGATTCCGCAGGTCAGAATGGCCAAGGTTCCCCGCAGGTTTCCTCGTGCGCTGCCCATTGGATGCCGTCAAGAACCGTCTTCTACCAGATGGGGGCAAGCTGCCCGTGCCATGGAAAGGTCGTCTTTGAGCGCATCCTGGAAAGTTTTTGTTTCAGCTGCTGAGTTGGAGTGGCTTGAAGTTTTCCAGATATCTCCTGATCTGTCCAGAGCATACGTGGGAAGAGCTGGGGATATACGTGTGGGTTGGTATCGGCATGCGCGTCCTGCACCTGTTCCCTTTCTTCGATTATGTCCCCAAGCCGTTTGGTGGCGGACGCTGGCCCTGGTTATCGAGAGCTTCTCGAGGCCCCAAAATGTTGCCCAGTTCGCCCAGTCCATCAAGCGCGCTAGGTACCTCCAGGGCTTGCCCGATGTGCCCACCTCGGACTTGGCTGTCGCCTCCCTGAGGGCCGTGGGCCGCATCCGTGTATTGGATTTCGTTGTGGTCGACTATTTGGCCAGTATGGCAGCCGTGCGCGCCGAGCGTTTGCACAGGCAGGCAGCCCAGCTGAAGTATGTCAACTGGGACAAATGGGTCAAAACCCACACGGTGGGCGGTGCGGCTGCCCTGTTTAAGTGTGTGCAAGTGCCTGACCCCTGGCAGCCTTCCATTCTCGATTCCTACACCCTCCGCCCAAACACCAGCATGGGGGAAATGGATGCGTTGGAGAAGGAGTGGGGTGATTGGTGGCAAGTGGGAAGATCGCAGCCCCCCATTGAGTGGTCCGATGATTTGGGAGTCAGGCCGCCGCCGCCAACCACGCAAGTGTTAAAGAGGGTTTTAATGACATGTCCTGCAGGTACAGGCTGCGGCTATGATCATATCCCGCCTAGGAGGTTATTGCACCTTCCTGAGGCGGCTTTGCAGCTGCTGTCTGACATCATCGCCAAGATTGAAGAGGCGGCAGAATGGCCTCCACTCACGACGAAGATTTTTTTCATATTGAAGCGTCTCGGTGGTGTACGTCCGCTTGGCCTTTTGCACGTCCTTTGTCGCATCCAAGCTAGGTTGCGCAGACCTTTGATAGCTCAGTGGCAGAATAGCAACTACCGCAGTTTCTGGTGGGGTACGACGGGCAAGAGTGCTGACATGTGTGTGTGCATTCAAGCGGTGTGGGCTGAGTAGTATAAGGCTAAGGGTTTGTCTTCTGCCACTCTGCTGCTTGATTTAAAGAAGGCTTTCGAGCTGGTCAAGCACCGCCATTAGCTTGCAGCAGCGAAGGCCACAGGATTTCCACTTTGGCAACTGAAGTTGTTGGTGCTCGTGTATCGCTCGCCTCGATTATTAGACCTCCAGGGGATCGCGAGCAATTTCGTGGTCGCCGAAACGACGATCGTTCCTGGATGTGGTTTCGCTACTGTGCTTTTGCAGTTGATCCTCCTGGGGCCCCTCGATGCAGTGCAGCGTGAGCACAGAGCGGTTTGTTTGTCGGTTGTCGTCGACGATTTCGGTTTGCAGCGATCGGGTGAGCGAGGGCGTGTGCTTGCCGACGTAGCAGGTGCAGGTGTCACTTTGCAGCGCGAGCGGCAGCAGGTCGACTTGCGGCTGGCGCTGGACAAGACTCGGGTGCTAGCCAGCGACACGTTGCTGCGTGAACAAATTGCGAAAAAGCTTGTGTCACTGAGGGCCCAAGGAGCTGTCCATGAACGAAACCTTGGCGTTGATTTCAGTTCTGGGCGTTTTCTCTGGAGGGCCACTCGGAGATCCAGGATCAAGGTTTCCAAGGACAAGCTGAAACGCCGCAAACACCTCCAGGGCGGCGCTGCTCGGAGGCGCACGCTGGCTATCATGGCCCGAGCCCCCCTCGAAACTGTTGTTTCTTTTGGGACCTCGGTGCAAGGCGCCGCCGTGCAGGAGCTGGAGCATCTAAGATCTCAGGCTGCTGCTGCTCTTGATTCGAAGATGAGTGGGGGGAGCCGCGCTCTTTCGTTGGCTCTCGCTCCTCAGCAGTATTATGATCCTATTTGGCGGGCTACCCTGGAGCCCATCAAGGCCTTTGCTACTGTCCTCTGGGGCCGTCTTGTTCCTCGGCATGTCTCGGAGCACGGCCTCAACGCGGCCGCTGCGGAGCTTGCGGGAAAGACCAGCCCATGGCCGCTGGTGAGAGGGCCTTTCGGGGCCCTGTGGGCCACTCTGGACCGGGTTGGGATCGTCTTGGTTGAGCCTCTGGTTTGGAAGTTACCTGGAGGATCTTTTATTATGTTGGACGACATGTGCCCCAGGGCCCTCATGCAGTGCTGCAGGCATGCTATTCGGTGTTGGATCAATTATCAAGTCGCTGAGACCTTGGGGCGCCCTGAGTTTCGCTATGGTTTCTGGCGTGGGCCCCTGAAGTACCTCCTCAGCAAGGGTTCCCTTAATTGGCAGCAGCGTGGTTACCTTCGGAGTGCCTCTATTGGAGCTCAATGGCCTCAGCAACGGCAATTTCAACAAGGCTGGATTGCCTCTCCAAATTGCCTAGCATGTAAGAGTGCCCCTGGCAGCCTCCTGCACAGGCACGTTGATTGCTCGAAGATGCTCCAGGCAATGGAAGAGGCACTCCCAGTTCCTATCAGTCTCTTGAGGCCACATGTGGATCAGAATCCGTTGGGGCTTCTACTACTTGAGCGTGGTCTCCTGCCTCTGCCCCAAGTGCCGCAGTACTTGTTGCAGACGCCAACGGACGCTGAGCTAAAGTGGGATGGTGACCCGCAGGCTCTTACTGGTGATCTGTATCTCGACGGTTCTTTTATGACTGATTATCCTGATCGTGGATTTTCCTCCTGGGCTGTTGTTGCGATCGCAGCGCGCAGCAACATATGTACGTGCACCCTGACGGGTCTGCTGCCATGTCCGCTGCAGGACATCGACGGTGCCGAATTGTTTGCCTTTTACGCTTCCCTTCTGTTTGCAGTGCCGCCCGCAGTATTTCACACGGATTCGGACTTCGTGTGGCGTGGGGTGAACGTGCGTGGTCCTGACGCCACCACGCATGCATCCTCAGCCTGGGCCTGCTTGTGGAAAAAGGTCGGAATACAAACTGATGACTGGGGAGGTGAGATACCAGAAGCGAGGGAGGTGAAAGCACATGTGACGGAGCACGGGGTCGACTCTGGGCGCCACTCTCTCAGAGACAAGATCGGAAATGACGCTGCCGACCTGGCGGCGAAGATGCGTGCTCGCGAGCTGCGTGTGCCACCCGAGTTTTTGAAGCTACTCAACACGCAGAGGAGGATGATGGGAATTACTGGGAGGTGGATTGCGAGAGCAGGTGAGTCGGCCGCGTCAGCTGATTGCCTGCACCGCCAGCGCCCTAGCACCTCTGCAGCCCCCTCCTTAATCCTTGTCAAGCCAGAGCCCCCCGCCCTTGAGCAAAGAATCCTTGCCGCGCAAGTCGTGTTGCGCGATTCTGGGTTGAGAGCTCATCAGGTGGGGACTTTTCTTGTTGCATCTAAGCCTGTGTTCTGCTGCATGTCCTGTGCTTCGTTCACCACCTCTCGTGTGGTGTCATTAGCGTCAGAATGCAAACCGCTCAGGCTCTCTAAGGACCGCAGGCAAATCCTTGATCACCTGCGTGCTGGTGAATTCAAGATTGACGGCGCGTGGAAGCGCGCAGTGGACATTCGTTTGCTGACCCCGCCGACCCAGGCGGTCGGCGTTCCCGCTGTGCCGCACTGCCTGTCGGCGGGGTCCTCTTCTCACGCGTCGACGTGAGACCTTGCCTGCTGCGCCCGACGCGCGGTTCGTTTCGGCGTCGGGCCCAGCTGCATTTCGAGCCTGCGGTGGCGGAAGTGGTTCCGAAATGCGCCACCCGCAGAGCTCCCGCCCGCAGTGGGCGGATTCCGTCCGCTCTGGATCTGTGCCCAGGGAGGAGGAGGATGAGGAGGAGGGAGGAGGAGGAATTGAGTTGGAGTTGGAGGAGGAGGCGGAGGAGGAGGAGGCGGAGGAGGAGGAGGAGGGAGGAGGAGGAGGAGGAGGAGGAGGAGGA